CTCATCATTGTCCTGTTATCGTGTTCCCACTTAAAATTTGTTTCTCAGAATGACCACACTAAGATTTTAGTCTTTTAAAATACTAAGGTACAACAACTCTAGAGTAGTGGTGTGCAATACTGCATATTTTGGTATCGATCCAATACCAAGTAAACAAGGGTCAGTATCGCCGATAACGATACTTTTCCATAAAAAAGGTGGATGCATCATTGAATTCCTAAATCTCAATTAATTTTCATGACCTTAACTGTTTTTTGTGATGTTTCTTTTTTTTTTATTGTTAAATAGTTAAAATCCAGGACATAATTAGGATGTTTATAATTAAATAGAAAATACTTTTCTCATTTGTTAAACCACTTAAAACTGACGTATTATCCAAAGTATACAAGAGTATACAAAATATACAAAGTATATTTTGTATATAAAATATACAAAATTTTATATATATACAAATATACAAAGTATACAAAGTATACAAGCACCTTTCAATAGGCAGCCTGTCACAGGAAAAAAAATGTTCACATTTCAGTTTTATCTGTGGAACATACCAAAGCTAACACAGTTTGACTGGTGAAAAAAAGCATTTCTGCCCCAACAACGTGATATATCAATATGCCCTTAAACAACTGAAGAATTGGAGGACCAAAAAAAGGGTCAGGCCTCTGAAAGTCATGTTATTAAAAAAAAAACAGCAAAGAGCTGACACAGGACCTGAGAGATACGTCTGGTCCTTCAGTTGATTCCTCTGCTGTTCATTGACGAGCCATCGTCTCAGTGCAATGGTGGCAGTCAGGAAGCCATTCTGTGTGAGGAACACTAAATTACACAAGAACTCAACTGAAAATCACTAACAAAAGGTCTAATACAGTGATGAATCCAAATTTAGATATTTGGTTCATATTGTTATTGATGTGTATAAAGGTGGTTAATAGAGAGGTAGAGTGTCTGCAAGTCATTTGTAAAACAGGGTGGAGGCTTTGTCATAATTTGGAGCTGCATTTCATTGAGTGGTGTGGAAAACTGATAAAATTCTGAACTCAGAAAGTACCATCACATTATGTTCCACCATGCAATAAAAGCTCTTCAAAAAGCACAGACTGAATACATGTTGTATTTCCAAGCATACTTGAATGTTTAAAATTGCAACATATGAAGAAATTAGTGGCGGTTCAATACTTTGGTATCGTTGAGTAGCAACAATCTACTTATTTAGAATTTATTAATCCATTTATAAATCTGTAAAAGCGTGTGTGTGTGTGTACATTAACATTATCAAGAGGAGCTTAGCACACAGCAATGTCTTCATTGATTTTATTATTATAAAATTTTGTTCCAACTTAAAAATCAGATTTTTTTATTTTAATAATAAATATTAAGCAAGGCAATTGAGTTAATACTCAAAATATTCATCTTCATGTCCTGAACAGCAAGTAGTCAAAAGACAATTTAAAAAACAAAACAAAAACTCATGCAGTGACAGGCTGATATCCACAAATGTTTAAAAGACATAAAATACAAGTTTATGACTTTTTTTTTTTTTCCTCCCCCTTGTCAATGAAACCTTGAAACTCAATCCCAAAAAGTTGTTTCTGTTCATCGTAGCATGTCCAGTGGGAGAAACATTTCATTCACTTCTTCCGTCCCAGCTGACTTTAGGTTTGTAAGATCTGGGAAACCTGCAGTCAGTTGAGACTAAAGACGAGTCCAGATGAACAGAAACAACTTTTTGGGATTTCCTTTCCTGGATGATTGAAGTGTCTTCACATATCCTCAAACTTACTTTGGCAAATTAAAAAAAAAAAAAAAAAAAAAAGTGCTGACATTATTTAAGGCTAAACACTGCAGGCAGGTTTGGAAACCCAACAACTGGGTTAACATTTTTGAAATTCACAAGTATTTGAATGAAGCACAAGCTAAAACACTTTTTTTTTTTTGCATGAAGGCATGAATAGATGCCTTATGATTAGATTTGGGACCATTTTACAGATCTAACTCTCCAAACTAACAGTCCTTAATACACAAAACTTTTCCAACAAAATTTTTTGATCCAAATGAGTAGTTACAGACATTGTGTGCCAATTTTGCTCATTTTAGACCATCTGTAAATGAGCTACAATAGTCAAGCTGTGTTCCTTTACTACAGTGCAACAGATAAATTCAACATAGAATTGAAGCTTCTCCGCTAAATATTTATCAGTTTCTTTGTTATGATCAGAAAACAAAAAGCCACTCGAAGAATAACATGTCCCAATCCACTGATGTTTCTTGGTCTTCGGAATCCAATTTTAAGAGAGGTGCTCAGAAACTTCGGGCAAATGCATGCACACAGAGGGCATGTAGATTCAAAGACTGGTCCTTTGGCATTCTTCTTAGGAAGCGGTTTTCACAGCAAGTAGTTGTGGAATATCCAGGCTGTCATGCTTACTGAAAAAATAAATAAAATTCAGTAAATAAATAAGAGTAATTATATACTTTTTTGAAAAGTCTAAAACCCCCTGCAAACCTGTAGAGAAAGGAAAAAAAAATGTTTGAGTACTAAAACAGTTGTTTCACAAGTTCAGCCAAGGTAGAAAAAGGAAAAAAGACCATCACTGAACATAAATTATGGACATGAGTGAAATTATATGATGTGTATATCTACATTATCACATTAATCTCGTTTTTTGTTTGTTTTACATAAATTAGCTCAAGTGTTCTTCAAGATCCATCATCTTACCGAGAGTGCTACAGTACTTCCTCTCCAACATTTGTAGCATCTTTGTCAGTATTGCCTCTTCGAGTGCTGTAATCCAGTAATGACTGGTCAACATTATTGATAATACACAACAAAGCAAACAGAAAGCTACATGGAATGAAGAAGTCCACAGAAACCACCACATGCCTACATACCACTCATCCACAAGGACCACCCCACACAAGCAGCACCCGTGCCAGCAGCTACTCTTTCACCTCTTATAGTCAAAACAGCCAAATTTGTTTGATGAGATACAAAATATTACCTGTTCATTCCTGTCAGCAGAACCAAACAGGTAAATAATTCTTTATGAATAACAACCTATTTGGCTTTTTTAAAGACTCAAATTAAAGCTAAAATAAAAAGTGAATTAATATCAATGTTCCAAAATGTAATTAAAATCTTTCATGCAACTAAAGAGATTACAATATACTATGTAAACAATGCCTACATACTATTTGGGCTCTTTATATTTCTCTTATAAATACAAAGAGTGATAAGATTGTGCAGGAGGATATAATTATGCCACCACCAAATGCTATTTAAAAACCAAAAAAAAACCCCAAAAAAAACAAAAACAAACCATCCACAACATTTACTGACTAACGATCTCCTCATTTTTACAAGTTCATGGCAGACATTATGGATCCTAAAAGCAAATTGAACGCTGTGCATCCCCAATACATGATAAATATTTGAATACGACTTCATATGAAGTATTGCATTTCCCCCAAAAATAAAAGTGTTTAAGTTCCTACTATGCCCCATTTCAACGCAAAGAGAGACTACTGTGTTTTGATGTCATCACTATTTGAGCAAGGTCTTTCCTCCACTATAGATTTCACTATATGTATGCGTGTCTACTTCACCTTCTGATACCCTTTGCCAAGTCCCTTTCTACCACACATGCCCACCCACACGCACGTGCGCACACACGCACACACAGCAGAGACTGGCAAAATGATGACATCATTACTTAACTGAAAGACTTATTCAGTTTCAGTAAATATATAATATGAGAATACCTACAAGTAGTAATCTATGTAAAATGACAAGGCAGTACTAAATAAAACTCCACTGTTGACACCACTTCCACTTCTTCACCCTCCCAAGCAATCAAGGAGAAACACCTAAGTGTAAGACTCTGAAGTCCACAACAGGAAAGCCACCGAATTTCATACAACACTTCTCTGGAAATGTGTCACTGGTATGACACACACACTTCCTATTTTACAGATAAATTTAGTCAATAAAAAGTTTTCTTCTCTTTAAAATATTACAAATCAGATGTATTTCTTTGACCATATTCACAGCCTTAAAATTTAAGAATAAGCTGTGGTACATAAGCTAATGCAAATGAAACAAAATTCCTGTCATGGCATTCACAGCAGTGAATCAACATGTATAAAATATTGTATGTAACAACACAATTTAAACCACTACTCACCTCATCATTCAATATTTTAAAACACTACATGCTACATAAAATAACACTGTAGTAGAGAAATTCATTATCCAGGAAGCCTTACAAAAAGCACAAAGTTTCAGCATGCAACACTAAGATTATAGAAAGCTTGGATAGAAAGAAAAGCTGGAAAACTAATGGGTAGCCAGAGAAGCAAACAACACAAAGGACAAAGCTTTTTCGAGGGTTAGTCAGCAAAGTTTAATAAAACACAATTTTACCCCTTTCCCTTTTTGCTGTTTTTCTTGTACCACATAAAGCCTCCAAAGCCGCCGGCCAGTGCTCCGATGACCACAACTTTTATGGGGGAGAGGGGGGGGAAATTAATGCGGGAAAAAAAATTGAAGAAAAAAAAAAAAAAAAAAGCTTATTGACTAGACAACCTATTAGATGTCAGTATGGCCACAAAAGTAAGTAATAATTAAACAAGAATATGGGAGACTGCTACACTGATGATACAATTTTAAAGGAGGATAATCCTGGCAAAATATTTGAGTAGTATTTAACAAAAGAAGGGGCAAAACAAAATCAGACCAGGCAAATAGTCTTCAAGTGAGAAGACAGTCAATGAAACAAACCAAGTTAAAGAATTCTCGTTATTTTTTTTTATTTTTATTTTTAAAGAGAGACTATATTCTTCTGTTATTTCCAATTTTACTGAAATATGAGCCACTTTGGACTGTGCAGAACATTTTATAGTTGTTAACGCAAGTAATAGGCCACTAGTGTGGCATAACTACAGTTATTATAAATCACATTAGTGCAGAACCACACTGGTTTACAGAGCTATCATCCGTTTTTACTTTAAAACTTTTGCGTCTTGTTTAACTTTCCATTTGCTGCAGCTGCAGGACATCCTACACTTAATGGTTTACCACCATTGTATATCCGGTCTTTAAGTGATGACATGATGAATCCTGCTTCCGTTCCCAAAGTAGTCTGCATTTAATAAGGCTGTGGTGTTTTTAACATGTTCTAATGCTTTGTATCTTGTTCTATTTAATCCCAACCCCCTAAAAACAGTCAGTGATCACTGTTGGCTTCTCTTAGTTTTTATTATCGCTAATCATTTTAAAGTTCAGTTTTTAAACCCTTACGATTTAACTACAGCCCAGCCCATGCAGCAGTATATTAATGACTAACCTCGTATTATGAATGGATTATCTCTGTGGTTCTCCTGACAGACGTTTGGTCCGTTTACAGCATCCTGCCGTCCGAGTGCATTTGCCCCTAACCATTGGGAACCCTCACATTAACTTTTATCGAGTGGAGAAAAAGTCCTCCGTTCATTAGCATTCGCCCTCCAGCTTTACTGTTTATTTTATGCTAACATAGCTGTGTAGTGCTAGCAATCACATAGCACATCATTATATACAGCTAGCCAAACTTCAGTAACTTTCCATCTTCATTTATGTCGGAAGTGATAACAGAGCTGTACGTTTGAATTTGTTTCATAAATCTCTCAGTCAGAACATGGTATATTATATTTAGATGGAAGCTAGCGAGCTCACTCCCTGCTAACTTCTAACTCTGTTAAATATCAAAAATTATGTTTTCACGGATGCCTGGGTGTTAAACTTAATTGTTACACCTGGCAGAGCAGCCACAGTGATCATTTAATTACAGATGAAAGAATTTAGATCAGATTCCAGAGCCCAGACATGGCTAATGACGTCAGACTTAAAGACCGGATTGATAACACTATATAATCATTAGTGTAACCAACAAGTTGACCCAATGGCCAACCAATTTTTTTTTTTTTTTCTTAAATGTACAGTCAAGGTAAATAAAAGCGAACAAACAAAAAACCCTAATATTAAATAAAAGAAAGAAAAAAAAAAAAAGACTATATTACATTAAAGTACTGCCATTTAATACTTATTACAGGTATGTTCTGAATGTGTATCATAAAAAATATGATAAGCATGCTGAAATATAAACATGATCTTTTTGGGTCAACCTCATGTTTTTACATTCATGATCTACTATAAAAAGATGAATTTCAAACTTACCCAAAATGCCAATGACTAAACCTTTAGAACTGCCACTTCCATTGTCCACTGGAGGTTAAGGTAAAAAAGACAAAGACCAATTAAAACCAAAGGAAGAGACAGCAAAATTCCTAAACTGATTATACAACTGACCCATGAGCACACTGAAAAATCTCTTTCAATCCCTGTGAACTGCATCCTTCTGGTTCATCAAAAGTATACTTTAAAATTGTTTCTTTAAATTTTTTATTACATCTACAGTGGGGCAAAAAAGTATTTAGTCAGCCACCGATTGTGCAAGTTCCCCCACCTAAAATGATGACACAGGTCAGTAATTTGCACCAGAGGTACACTTCAACTGTGAGAGACAGAATGTGAAAAAAAAA